ATTCGCTGACCTTTTAAGAACCGTTAAATTATACTGGAAACTACCTTGATGAATAAAAATAGAAATCTTTTTTCTTTTTAGGTTAGGTCTTTCAAATGAATATTAACTCAGTAAACGGATGGGTATGATCCACAAAATTTTATCACTTAAGCAATTATTAAAAAAAAAAATTTCCGTAGCGCCTTTACTTACGCGAATGGGCATTTGCAATTCTTTGAAGCGTATGCATAAAAATAGGCTTTTTTTTTTTTGTTTTTTTGTTTTTTTTTTATTGGAAGTTGTGCTAGAATAGCTTATAAATGTCTATTTGAATTGAGAATCACCTTGGACAAGATAAATACGATAGGTTCGAATGCCAGCGGACTTGGCGTGTAGAGGATCGATCGCGGCTAACATGGATTTATTATCACAATTGAGCTATAATATTTTTATCAAAGTCCATAGAAGGAACAGAACACGTAGGAACAAATGTATACAGTTTGGCTCTTCTGTCTATTTATAATCGCTTCTTATCGCACACATTTAGCCTGAAAAATTGTACGGCGACTTAGTAAAAATTGACCAAACTATAACATTGGGAAACTAGTGGAAGGGAGGCGGATAGATGCTGGAAGAGTCAATGCCATCATATTTATTTAACTGGAATTGGAAATATCTAATCTTATATGAATTTGTAATACCTTTACAAAATAAACGAACGGCATTTGGTTATTTATTCATGCTAGTTGGATGCTGAGCCTGAATGTGGAATAAAGTTGAACTTACTGAGAATAATACCATTAGAAACATGGCTTCAATAGAACCGCCAAAATCAAAATGACCCTTCAAGTTTGCAATGACCAGAACTTTTAGAAAATGCTGTCTAGTTCGCTATAAGTGTATTTCTAGTACTTATGCATACACAGATCCAACGGACTGCTTTTTTCATGAAATTCTCTGTAAGCGTGTAGAACACTAAAAATGATCGAAGCTTTGGCATTCGCAGTACTAAAGATAACGCAACTATAGTAGACCTTCCCATTATCCAGGTTGTGGTATACTTGATTCAAATTTGCATACAAGTTAGATTATTATCATAAGTGTGGATGGTTTTACGCTTTAGGTTGAAACGTATTCTTCAAGCGTTTTTAAAAATTAGTAAGTTAATGTTTGTCCCCGTTTTCGAAAAACTTAGATTTGTTCAAGCCTAGCAGATTGTCTTTTTGCTACAATTCTTTTAGATATTAAGCGGTTATTAACAATCTGCTGATTGATTATAACAAAACACTACTCTGGTGTGGGTTGTACTATTGAAAAAAATCGTTGCTCATCGTGTTTCGATAAAGTAAAGTGTATTTTCTTAGTATAATTATTTTGTCTGTTTAGCTTGTAATTGCTGAAAAAGAAAAGAAAGATTTGTTGGTGCATGTTGCAGACCAAATAAGCGTATTTATTCTATCAGCAATTACGAGATATAACGTCCCTTGTGGCACATTATCTAGTCGTATTGCAACTGCCGAGTTGGATTGTCCACTAGAAATACTTGCCAAAGTCAAAAAAAACAAAGAGCAGAAGTTGTGACTCTGACGGTGTATCTAAATTATTAAAAAATTGTGCTCGTTTACTTAGAGCCAGAAACCACTACAATGCTGTCCTTCGTATGTTCAAGGGAAATCAGTTAGTACTACATACTTCACCAAGTGAAATTTCGTGAAGTATATTATCGTCACTAGTATCAGTAAACGATTGTAGGCTAAGAAACTGAACAGAGGAACGTGGAACCCCATGAGCCATCGGTGTACTATCTTGACCACTCCTACATCGTGTCGTGCGCCTCTTTCCTACGAAAGTTCAGTAGGCACCTAAGAAGTAAGCTTTTTAGGTTAAATAATTATCATCTAAATGAATAAATGAGAAACTATTAAAAATTAGGTGAGCAATTGTCAGGCAAACATCAACGGAAAGGTAAATAGCGACCGTAAATATCGATCAGGTAAAAACCAACTGAGTAGGCAGGGAAAAACGGCTGGGTCTTTTTGAACAGTTAAGCGTTATCGATTTTTGACAAATGATCTTTTCTGTTGAACGGTCTTTTTCTCGTCATTATTATTATTATTTTTGTTGTTGTTAATAGGCCGAGAATTATAGGATAGAAAACTCAGCAGTAAAAGTAGCGACAGAAGACAGTAACCGATTTGACCCCTGGAGGTCGTCCATTGTGAGCGTTAATAGAACGTCGCTTCAAAAAGTAGGCGGTCGTTTCTACTGATGATTGCAGAATATGTCTGGGTGAGTGGCCCGAATCTAGAAATGGTGGTCGTGCTTTATGGATATGTCACAATCGACCTACATTAAAAATAATCAATAGAATCGAACTGAATGCTAGGCTTATCGGTATATTCGAAGTTTATATAGCTGTGTGAAGAAAAAGATGTTCGCAAAGTGACGATAATTTATATGCCTTATTTACGTAGATTAAGATCACATGAAGGGGCACAAAGCAATAAAAATTAATCCCTCAATGACATTGTTTTTATTTGACAGTTGAACATGCCAGATCAGCCAGGTCTAGGGCCAGTCAAATTTATTAATAAACTTTTATCATTTCCCAAAGAAGATATTTGTGTATGTCAGAGCGGGTTTGAACCGACGATGCCTAGCTACTTCTGCCAGACAGCACCTAACAATATGCCGGCCTAAACCAGATCACTATGTGTAAATTCATGAAAAACCTATTGTTTCGAGTTTTACGTCCAACCTTCCCACAGACAGCCTCTCTCACTCTCTCCGGTATGAAACCTAACTAATCCTTTTATCAA